GAAACAATGAACATGTGAACCATCCAGTAGATTAACTGGAACTAACATGCATTTATAGACCATTCCAGGCAACAGAGGCAGAATACACGGCCTTCTAAAGCACACACAGGTCATCGTCCAGGACAGACAGCGCGATAGGACACAAAACAAGCCTTAGCAGATTTAGGAAGATGAAATCATACCTAGTGTCTTTTCCAACAACAATGACATAAAACTAGAAATCAACAGGAAAAAGAAAGCTGGAAAAACCTACAAATGTGTGGAAAGTATGCAACAAACTGCTGATCAAGCAAAGGGTCAAAGGAGAATTCAAAAGAGAAGTAAAAAAAGTCCCTAAGGGGAATAAAAGAAACACAGCGCACCAACGTGAATGTCTGCACAGGGTCCCCTTCCAGGGCCACTCACCCAAGTCGGTGGCCTTGTTTCTCTTCAGGAAGCACCAGAGGGAAGCTTTCGGGTTGCTCCTGATCTCAAGGTCCCTCCTCATTGGAGCTGGGCCTCTCTTTCTAGACCTGAGAAGTGGTCGGGTCTAGACAATGACGCAGGATGTACATACTATGAATGTGTGGACTAGGAGGTCTTCGTCTATTTCTGTAATTTAAGTGAGGAAAGGGCTCAAGGACGAGGACAGGTGGGGTTCAAGGGCTCTCCCAGTCTCCAGGAGGCTAAGATCTCCCCAGCAGTCAGGACCCACTGGGCTCCCACTTTTCCCTCTTGACTACGAACATGTGATTGAGGTTTCACCACTGGGGATATCCCCATTAATCGGAACAAGCCATGTTGGGGGTGGGGTTGCACCCATGGAGTCAGGGAGGGTTTAGCCACACCCACATGTCCAGGAAAGTGAGCCCCAAACTTCAGAAGAAACTTCCCTAGCCTTCTGTTCCCCAGGGCAACTCACTTTCTCACAGATGTCTGAGCAACAGAGTGTACTACCGCTTGGGGTATGAAAGTGATAGAGGGACACATTCTACTCCTATGGCCACATGAAGAGTGAGGCCCACAACATACAAACGTCCCTCACCAAGTGCAGTAGTCGGACTGTGGACTTGGGTGTTGGATGCACAGAAGAGACAGTTTAGCATGAGGAGCTCAGGAGGACTTAATGCGAGGTGCTGTTTATGTTCAGCTTTCACAGAAGCAGCTCTCGGTGCTGGGACAGGGATGACTTCCTCCTGCCAGAGGAAGGAGCCAGGACAGAGGTTTGGAGGCACAACTGTGGGGGCCTGCGGGAAGGCCAGGGGCTCCCCACTGGGGAGTGGAGAGCAGGACATGACAAGGGGGGAGATGGGACAGAGTGGACGTGTGGCAAACCCCAAAGGCAATCGTGTATTCCAGAAACAAAAGGGACGGGAACACAAATGCACACATAAAGCATTTGCATGCACACACACAGACCGCCTACAGGACAGCTCCATCACAGAGGGGCTGCAAAGCCTTCTTCTCTGATTCGGTTCCACGAAGGCTCCTGCCTCCAGTGAGGGTCGGTCCACCACAGTGAGTCTGCGCACCTCCCTCTGCAGGCCTGGCTGACCTTGCTGGGGAGGGGGAGGAGGGCAGGGCTGACCAGGAGGGGGCACAGCAGGGGCAGTGGGAAACCAAGGGGGAGGACCTGTCTTTGCAGAAAGAGCAGGCTCTGGGTTGGAGTCAGAGCAGACACCACTGGTTTCACGTCTCATTGCATTTATCGAGGCATTGCCTTCTTACATCAAATTCTGAAAATTAAGTTTTCCTAAATCTAACTTTTAAAAGCTTTCCCAAGCCCTGGCTGGCGTAGCTCAGTGGATTGAGCGCGGGCTGCGAACCAAAGCGTTGCAGGTTCGATTCCCTGCCAGGGCACAGCCTGGGTTGTAGGCCATAACCCCCAGCAACTGCACATTGATGTCTCTCTCTCTCTCTTTCTCCCTTCCTTCCCTCTCTAAAAATAAATAAATAAAATCTTTTAAAAAATAAATAAAAAATAAAAGCTTTCCCAAAATTTCTGAAACAAAGACTTACAAGACCATTGCAGGAGCTGTAAGAAATCTCTTCCTGAGTTATTGGGGGAGCTAGCCACAAATGTCCCATCACCGCTCCGTTCTCTAAGTGTATTTCCTAAAATCCAGGGGCACTCCCCTCTGTCACCCGACACAATCATCAAATCAGATTCTCATCAGTCCCTTAGTGCCATCGCATCCTGAGTCCCCATCACTTTCACAGGAGTGTCCCCTGTTCCCAGTGACGTCCCGCAAAAGGTCTGATGGATGTGCATGTTCCCACCTCCTCCTCCTGCAACGGTGGTGGTGTCTGCGGGTTTTACAGGCCCCTTGTCTGGGCTGTGTGCTTTGAGAGCAGGTGGAGGGATTTGTACTGTATGGCCGTTGTTCCTGTGAGGCAGCCGCGAGTCAGCATTAATGTATTTGAACGATTTAAAATGTTCGTCCAGTATTTTTATTATTTTGTTTCTGAGAATAGTTTAGGTTAGACTTACTAAAAGTAGCTTAGTTTTAGACTTACTAAAAACAGTGTAGTTTTAGACTTACTAAAAATCTTCCAGGTAGAGAGAAAATAGAACTGTTTTGTCGCCATATTAAATAGATTTCCTTCTGCTGGATATTTAACTTGTTGATAAACTGTTGCTGTAACAATGCTACAGTAAAAAAAACATAAATATGCAAACTTTTTGGAATCTGCAAACTTTTGGAGTCACGTCTGTAGGACTGGAACTAACAGGTTGCCATGTAGGACCAGCACAGAATGCACTGTACTGCACACTGCTCAATTATCCTTCCCAGGGTTGACTCAAGCCCTCCTCATACCAACCATGCAAGGGATCTCTTGTCCAGTGGTTAGCACTGATAATTTAAAACTTTGACAAATTCATTGGTGTGCAAGGATATATATTATACCTTTTCTGGGTATTGTCTTGTTTGTGAGATTTTCAATCTTTTCAAAGCGTATTTTCCATCCCTGAACTCCTCACATTCTGTTTCCTGCACCTTTGTACACGGTTTGAGAGGTTCTAATATAATTACAGGAGCTCCCTATACATTCTGGATTCTGACACTTGGTCATAAGGGATTTAACAACTTCGAGAAATAATAGACGTTTCTGCAGGAGAGACTTCTCAGTGAAGGAGGTGAGTGGGGAGGGTGGGGGATGGGGACCCCAAGGAAGTCACTGCGGGGTGGAGGGTGCTGGGAAATAACGGGACAGTCCTCATTCCTTAGGATCCATATGGGATTTGGATCCAGAAATCACGACAAGACTAAGATGGCACATTCTGTTCCCACAGCAACACAGCAGAACCCCAGGTTTCATTTGCTCCCTGACACGGAGGGGAAACAACCACCAAAATTCCTAAGTACTTGTGTTTTATAGTGTTATTTTATATATAGATAAAATTTTAAATAGCATTACATACTTAGAAATTCCTAAAATAACAATAAAAATATCATTTTTAAAACACGGTGAACTTAGGGCACACAAAGCATCCCTGAGGTTCTGAAATCTCTCAGTGTTTTACCATCAGTGTGATGTGCAAAAACGTGGTCCCAATACAGAGATCTGCCCCATTTTCCACAACCAGAGGAGAAGACGGAACGTGTTCTCCTTCTCACATCACTTGTTCAAGTATCAGAAGACTCAGTGTGAGGTCAACAATTGGCATCAAGAGAAAATGAAACCAAGTGTTGAAAAAGTGCAGGAAGGCCCTATGGCCCAAGGAGTACAGGAAATGCATGTTGCATCTGCTGTAGCACCACAATCTTCTGGAGGCTGCAAGGTCTGCAGCTCCTGGAGGTCAACAGGTGAGCAGCTGGAGATGACGGAAAGATGGCCGACCACAAGGGGTACATGTCGAACTAGACCACACTCTCAGTAGCTTCTGAGAAGCATCTTCTGCCATCAGAAAAAAAGAAGCACATGTTGGTCTGGGTGAGTGCGTGAACCCTGGAGTGACCCTGGAGGGTCAGTTCCCCTGGAGTGACCAGCCCCAACCCTTCCATCTCAGAGCCCCACCCTCCCTGAGACTCACACACTCCCGCTCACTGGGTCCTGCAGTGGGCACCCATGTTCTCCCTTCTTTATCACATGACAGACCCAAGTCAGGCTAATGACAGGTGGGGCAAGGACTCAGGGGGCAAAGGAAGCTCTTCTCGCCCTGGTCCCAGCACACCACTCTGAGTCCCACTGTCCCTGCCCTGCCCCCTGCACTCCTGCTGCAGTCAGCTGTCTGCATCCCACTCCAACAGCAGCTCAGCCCCACTAGTCTGCCCAGTCCCCCTGCTCAGGGCAGGGCCTCTCCCTGGCTCTGGATCTGGGGTCTGGAGGAGGCTGGCTGCCAGCTGATCACACCAGGGCTCAGCCAGGAGTCCCAGGGCTTCAGGAGAACTGGCCCCTCTACCCTCCTCTGGCACAGTCCCTACTGTCCAACCGCCACCTTACCTGCTGTCCCCAGGCAACTTTCCGTGGAAACAGAGCAGTCAACTCCAGCCTTTTGCGTTGGGTCTGCAACCCTTTTCACCCTCTTCCTGGGATACACCCAGGCCCCCTCCTCTCAGCCCCCTGGACAGTCCCCGTCCCCTGGACACATCCCATGCAGCCACCATGCTGCTCTCACCTGAATGTGAGCACTGCCCTGCCCCGTGAGCCTGCTGTCCCCACACCACCCACCCTGAGCCCAAACACTCTCTCCCAACAGAGACTCTGAGTCAGGACCGAATCACTAAACCCCTGCAGCACCAGCGGGCCTTAGGCCTTGGTGTGGGCCCCTGCCTGTCCCTCTGCAACCCACAGTGAGGAGGCAGCAGATCTGGGGGCTGACCTTGTCCACGTGACTGCTGGCAAGTGGTACTAGGTCTTATTGTCCTGGTCCCCTTTCCAGGTTCAGTGAGGGTACAGGTGTCAGGCTGGGAAGCCACCTTCCCTGCCCTCACTGTAGGCCTTCTGCACCCCACTTCCCACTCAGTTATGCCCTCCGTACCTGTTACCTGTTCCTCCGTACCTGTAATGGATCCAGCCTAGATGCCAAGTGTGAGTAAGATACAAATCGGTGTGAGGACCAAGGCGATGTTGTCCTTGACAATCACAGCCTTGGATGGGGCTGGGGCTGGGGCTGGGGCTGGGGCTGTAGTTGTGGCCATGATTGGTGCAGCTGCAAGGGAAACACCAGAGTGTCAGCCTTGTCCAGACCCCATTTGTGAGGAGACGCCCCCTCAGCCCTGCCTCCCCAGGTGACCCTACAATATGGACAGGTGCTGCCCCTCTAGTGTGGCAGCCACTGTGGCAGGTCCTGGGGTTGGAACAAAGAGAGGACATGGGCCCTGACCCCTTGGGCTCCTACAGCTAATGGGGGAAGGAGGGTCACAACATACCCAGTCCCTCCTGCTGTGACAGAAGAGGAGGTGACACATGAGGAAGGAGAGAGAACAGTCTTCTCAGGAGCTGACTCAAGGAGCTGTTGAAGGAATTGCAGAAATAAGCAGGTGAGATAAAGAAGAAAAGTGAGGTGAGAGGAGGGAAGAGTACAAGGAACAGGTCTGGGACAGAACGAGGCCCTCATGCTTGGGGTCAGCAAGAAATCCACAGCGAGTGGCCCAAGGTTAAGTGCAGGCAGAAGAGATGTGAGGAGGTGAGAAGGGAAAGGATGGATGTGGGACATTCCTGTGGCTTTATTTAAAAAGAAAGCCCACTGTGGTCAGGTCAGTTTCTCAAACCACACACAACACACAGAAACACAGATACAGTGTCAATGCCATTTCAAGGGACCCTAAATTTTCCCTCTGCAGTTACCTTTTGTGTTCAGAACTGTGCTCTGATTAAGCAACTTCACACAATTTCCATTTGAGATCCAATCAAGGCGTCTGGATATATCACTGTTTTTGTCCAGTGTGTCTTTCAACGAACTACATCCAGGGTGCAACTCTGCCCAGCGTCTATTCTTCGAGTCAAAGTGGAGACACATCTGTCCTTTGAAGCCAAACTCCCAGAATGTTTTGGGGCATCCATTGGATTCCTGCTCACACATCATGCTGCCCTGCAGGGCAAGAGAATCTCTCCCTACCGCCGCGGGAAAGAGGTCAGCCTCAGGTCTTCACAGATGCTCTGTCCCCACCTGGTACCCAGCCCTCTGCTCCCCTCCATCTCCTGGCTCTGCTCGCTCCTCTCTGTCCTACCCTGCCTGCTGGGCCTCTTGGGTAGGATACACTTCCAATATTCACATAAACACGATTGTTCCCTACCCTTACAACACTGCTCTACTTCCACACTGGATCATGCAAACTTACCAAAGGCTTCACCAATAGTTTTTTGATTGTCCAGTAGTGCGTTCTGGAGCTCAGGGAACAGCTCCGTCCAGTGTTCACACTGTTGGTTCCAGGCCTCTGTGGCATTCAACATCATCCCCACAGGACCGACCGGCTCGGCCATCCGACTCTTGCAAGAATATTTAAAAAATGGGGTCTCATGGATGGTGCCTAGAAACTCACACCATGGTGGTCCACTGGCAGAGACACTCAATACAGAGCAAAGAGAGTGTGCATCTGTGAAGGAGAAAATGCAGGGGAAAGTTGGGGTTGAAAGAAAAGTGACCATGAGCATCTCCCCCAGCTCTGTGACAACAAGTGACTCCCCCTGTCACCTGAGCTGGCAGACCCAGCACTGAGCCTGTCAGGTGCCTCCCTTCACCAGGTGAGGGCTAGCTCCCCTCCCTTGCTTGAGGGAAACCAGGAGGCCTCTGCCTGGCAGAAGCCACACCAGAAACCACACGCCTCCAGACATGTCCCCTCTGCCTGCCAGGCCAGTACCCATCATTACTCAGACCACAACCAACCCAAGGACGTGCAAGCAGCTTTCGAGGAAAAATCTAGACACCAGACAATTGTCAGGAACTAGCCAGGGCCCTGCAGGGACATGTAGGGGGCTGCTCCTGACAAAGGTGGGTGACAGTGGGGTGGGGATAAGGATAGATCTTAACGTGAGAGAAGGAGGAGTTCAGGATTGTGGGTCGTGATTCGGCACAGCCCTGGGCGATGGTGCCAACCTGATGCTGGGATGGGTCCTGCAACATTGGCAGAAGGTGTGGCTACCGTGCCTGGAGCAGAACGGCCAGAACTTCTGAGCAGGTAGTGCAGGAAGGGTCATGTGGCTCACAGAAGTGAATATCGCTGGGGGAGGTATAATATGAAAAGGCAGAAAAGTGTCCAATCAACCATGCTCCATGGGGAAGCCTGAAGCCAACTCTTGTTTACTGAGCCTCGGAGGAGAGCATGGATGAGAAGAGCGCCAGAATTCTCAGAAAGCTCAATGATGCCTTTTGCTGAAAGTCAGGATGGTGGTAGGAGTCCGTGTTCCCCAAAATGACTACCAGCAGTCATGGGGGTGGTGAATGTCAAGATAACAAATCACAGGTACAGGTGCTCTGGGTCAGGGAAATCCACACCCTCTAAAGAGGGCCTGGTAGAGAGGAGTTCTGTCTATGAAACATCAGAGTTGCCCATCATGAGCGTCACTGGCTAAGGCAGGCTGAGTGCTCATAGGGTAGAGGTGACTTCTCTGGCACAGAAAGGAGCAGGGTCACAGGGAACAATGCGATGCAGGAGCAGGTGGCCCCATCTTGACCCCAGAAAGTACCAGGACCACCCTCCACTCACACCTATGGCTTCACACACTGTCTTCCATGCCCCTTCACCCAGGAAGCAGTCCACACAGGGAAGGGGTACACAGGCCCCTGCCTGTGGGACCCACATCCTCCCACGCCACCCCTCCCAGAAGCCACAGGCAGAATAGGGCGGGTTCTGGCCCTGGCTGGTGTGGCTCAGGGGGATGAGTGCCAGCCTGGGTACTGAAAGGTCCCGGGGTCAGTTCCTGGTCACAGCACACGCCTGGGTTGTGGGTCAGGTTCCCCTCTCATTGTTTCTCCTCATCTCTTTCTCCTTCCCTGCCCTTCTCTCTAAGAAAGAAATAAAATCTCTACCCAAAATAAATAAACAAAAAGGATAGAGCATGGTTGTGGCTCTTGAACAAACAGCAAGGGCATCCTGGGAGACCATTCCCTAAGGCAGTGCTCACCCATACATGGACTCCCTATCTGCTCTAAACCTGGGGCCAGCACACTAGGGAAGTGGCCACATCTGATAGGACTGGCCACATCCGGTCCCCTAATTGTTTGGTGTTTTTGGCTGCTTTCCCCCCACAACCATGGAGGTGCCCAGTGCCTACAGAGACAGATGCTAAGAAGTCTGTAAAAACAAAAATTTACGTTTACCCTTTATAGAGAATGTTTGCAGCCTCCTTCCCTCACCTATGGCCTTTATGTAAAGCTGCCTCCTCAGCAGGTGGGAATGTGGGTGTGGGACCAGAGGGGAGGGAGGGAGGGCCCCCCCTGCCTGACCACCAGCCCCAGGATCACACTTGGGGAAAGTGTGCCCCCTGCCCCTCCTGCTCCAGCATCCGCGGGCCAGGAGCCCAACCTTTTGCTGGGTGTGACTCCAGGCAAGGGGGATAGAATGCCACTTGGAGGAGGGAGGGGTTAGCGTCACTTCATACATGGGAAGGTACTGGAGGCACTACAGACCTGGGACCCCCCAGACCTGGGTAACACTGGGTGAGCTGGGGTGAGGAGCAGGAACCCTGGGGGGAACTGGTTAAACTGAGTGCCCGGGGCTGTGGGCTCCGCGGTCAGCTGGCTCAAGGGCGCTGGGAGGCTGAAGGGTGGAGAGCACTGGGCGTGAGGGAGGGTTTGCTGGGACAGTCCTGGGGGAAGAGCAGGGGCAGGAGGCCGTTCCTGGATGGAGACCCTGAGGAAATGCCTGGTCCTGGCGCCTGGGGTCACCGGACAGGGGCTCCCAGGTCCCTGAGCACCGCGTGACCCAAGGTTAGGGGAGCAGCCTAGGGACGGCTGGTGTTCCCTTTTTGTCCCTAGCCACCTTTTGTGATTGTTCCTCTTGCCTGGAGGGCAACAGCCTGCCCCTGAGCCCGCGGAGGAAACTGAGAAGAGGGCTCAGGCCCCACCAAGAGGAAATAGTCTGCAACTGCCTTGAGCACCCCGTCCCCCTCCCCCAGCTTAAGGCCCCCACCCTTCTCCTCACTCCCTTGACCCTTTTCTCCCCAACCACCCCACGGAAGGGCGAACTCACCGCCTAGCGCGCCGGAACCGTAGGACAGCACAGCCAGGAAGAAGACCGCAAGACGGAATATGCAGCTTGCCATCCCCTCCACGGTGAGCAGCAGTTGGAGCTCAGCTCCACAGGGGCGGGAAATGTCTGTCCTGAATGCCTGGGAAGAGTGTCCAGGAGAACAGTGAGCTGTGGTGCCAGCAGCCGCGGTGCCAGGGCCTGCGAGCCCTGGGCTGCGGGTCAGCCGGCCATCCGTCCCTCCCCTCCGCTGTGGACCGACCGCGGTGAAAAGAACGACGGTGCCTCGACCCAGGGACCGTCCCCTGAGCTCTGAGCCGCTCCAGGCCCGGGCACCGCCAGGGACGCACAAGCAGCGCTGTATGGATGCCCAGGCCCAGCGCTGCGGTGATAACCCAAACACCAGCCCGCCAACACCTACACAAACAAACTCCGAACCCACCTTGTCCCCCCACCAGCCGAGGAGAAGGGAAGGAGAGATATCCCCGTAACACCAGACAAACGTGCCCCGCGCCGGCCTAACAAACACCCCGCCTGAGCCGCCCCACCTCGGAAACCGCGGTGCAACCGCGCGGAGCGCGTGGCTCGGCCCCGGCTCCCGGAGGCAGGCGACCGCCACACGCCCACGAGAGCCGGGCCAGCCGGCTGCCCCCGCACAGCTTCACCCCGTAACACCGGCCCCTGACCCGTACCAGCTCCCAACACACCTTCTCCACATACCCGCGCAGGAGAGCAAAGAAAAGAGACGCAGCTTAAGGCCGGATGGTTCACCCCACGACCTGTCCGCGGCGTTCACCCCACCACCACCTCGCCGCAGACCGACTCAGCCCCTCCAGCCGCTCCGAGCGGCCGGCCCCGGAGCACCCAGCCTTTCTGCGGCAGCTGCGCCGGCCAGCTGGGCGCCTGGGTCCCCCTGCCAGCCCCAACCCGGCCCCTGCAGGCTGAGAAGTTGCAGACTCCCAAAGCACCCTCTCCGCCACCAGCCCAACTTAAAAGTGCAGACGCTGCCTAGCTAGGCTACGAATCCCACACCGAGGAGGCCAATGGGGGCAGCCCCTGGCGCGGGCCGGGTCCCCAGCCGGCCTGTGCCCGACGGTGGCGGCAAGGAAGAACGCGGTTCGCCGCAGCGCCTCACCGGGAACGCGCCCCAGCGCCGCGAGCCCCAAGTCGCTCGGTCCTTATCGGATCCCCGAGTACTCGGGACCTGCCCGGAGCGGCGCCCACTGACTTCCGGCTGCCCGCCGCGGCCCCGCAGGGCCCCAGAGCACCCGCCGACCACCCCAACCTGCTCCCAGCCTACCTTCTCGCCCACGGGTCCGCAGAGGAGCGGAGACGCCCCTGTAACACCGCCCCACGCTCCGGGCGACTGAGAGCGCCTCGGCTGGCTGTGCGCCTGCTCCGCTAAGGGCGAATTAACTGCGGTCGCAGGGTGCCAGTCTGGCGTTCAGCGGCAGAGACGCCAGCCCCTCTGCTCCTTTGCCGTGGCTGACTGCTCCACCGGAAAGAGTTATTTGGCCAAAATGTCAACAAGAAACTTGTCACTTTTGACAACTTTGTTGACAGGAGAGACCCGGTCCTTCTTGCTAAAGCATGTAAAGAATTACACATCAGCAAATCTGTTAGCATGCAATCGGTTTATTAGTGACCTCTTCCCATGGAAGAGAACGGGACTGGCTGGAGTGTGAGGCCGGGTGACGGCGGTGAAAGGCAAAGTTTCATTGCAAAGCAGGGCGGCAAAAGTAAGAGTACCTGAAGGCCAGAGTGCACAGGGCCTGGGCAGCCTGAGGCCTGGTGGCCAGAGAGCACAGAGCACCAAGAGCGCCCCTAGTGGCCAGAGAGCAGAGTCCTTTGCTCGGAGGACTTACGTAGTTGGTGGACAAAAAGTTATGCATTGATTGGTGGGTCAATGTGGTGCCAGCTTTCCTGGGGGAGGTGACTATCCAAACTTAAGTATGTGTGGGGGTCTGTTAGCCCGAATCCCTATCTTGCTCCAGACCCCATTTGTTCATCTTGTTGTAAAACAGATAGGTGCCAGGAGGCAGTTACTTAAAGTTGGGCAGTTACCCAAAGTTATTTATGGGCTCTTTCTGTAAGCATTAGGGACTCCCTTGTAAAACAGATAGTGACCAGAAGAAGACAATTAACCAAAGTTGTCTTATGGGCTTTTTCTTCCAGCACTGGGGACCCTCTCCTGCATTCCAGGCCTGGGGATGACAGCACAGTTTCAAGGCTTCCTTTCCCAGGTAGTGGAAACGCTTCATAGAATTTCAAGGACTTCCCTCCTTCCCTGCTAACATAGTGTTTCTCGTGAGGTTGGAACACCCGGCCATAGTATCAGACCAGGCTCAGGACTGCTGGGTCAGTGGGTGAGACGTGTCTCCCTTCTCCTCCCTGCCTTGGTTTGCTATTCATTCTACCCAACTGATCAAAGGTGTTTCCTGGAGACCAGGGTGGCAAACCCTGGTGGGTAAGGGCAGTGCAGTCTCAGATTCTTCCTGTGCCGTCTCCTGCCTCCCACTCGGTCAGCCCCAGCACCTTCTCCACACACGGCACAAGTCTTTTTTTCCATTTCAGTTGCGTCTTTACCTTTCTCGAAATGATAAAGCTCAATATGCCAAAAATGTTGAGTGCCTTCTTCCATCTTCAATATTAAAATGGCTACACAAAAATTCAATAATATTGATCGGGGTTTTTTTTAATACACGCTGTCACAATACAATCTAACAAAATTGTTTTGGAGGACATTAAACACAGCTAAGCACTCCTAGAGCCACCTTGTGGCAAAAAAAAAAGGAATGAACTTTTTGGCCAACCCAGTAGTTAACTCAAACACTCCCTGGGTGGGCTGTCCATCCACTTTGCCTCCAGCATCACTGCGTTCCAAGTGCCAGATAGACAGCTTTCTGCGGTCCGGGCTCTTGGTTGGCGTTCCAGCGTTTCTGGTCATTGTAATAATGGCACTCCGCCTGCTTGTGGCAAGGGAGCCCCTACATCTCAAACGTATTATTTCAGGATGGGTTTTACCCCCGTTACTGCCGGGAGCCCATATGCGGAATACAATCTGCACCCGGCAAGCCCGGCCGTCACTGAGCTTCTCCACAACGGGGATGCCCTCCTCACGGCCAGGAGAGAAGACATTTGTTCTTCTCCCCTTCTAGGTTCTTCTCACTGGCCTAATCATTTAATTAACACGAGGCAGATTAAATGAGAAAAGCACACTTTAATTTGGTACATAGGGGAGCTCAGAGAAATGTGAGACTCTCTGAAGTGACCAAAGTACGCTGCAGTTTTTATAACCTTTTGACAAAGAAACAATAAATTTGTGAGAACTGGCAAGACTCTGGGCTTGGAGTAGTAAATGAGTAATGAGTAACAAGCTTCATTTATAGCCTTCATGGCTCTAAGTTCCCTGTGTCTTGTGCAAAGGATGTCCCTCTACCTCCTGGTACAGGCAGGGTGTCTTGCTTTTAGAGGGACAAGGGAGGGTCAGAGTGTCCTTCTTGCCCAGCTGTTCTTAAGCAACCTTAATTCAAAATGACCAATATGCTGAAGTGACACATTCTCGGGTGGCTTACCTTGAACGTCATCATTGCCAGCACTCCTTGTAAGTTCCATGCACAACCGGCCCTCCTCTCCCTGCAGCACAGTGGGCAGACAGCTCACGCTCGTTCTGGCTTTGCAATACCGTACCCACTCTGGCATGTGTGTTCCTGGGGCCTTGTAACCCCACCCTGTACCACCTGCCTTGGATTTCCTCATCTTCTCCTCCATGCTATACACTCAGTGCTTTTCCAAAACCCCCAGGACCCAGCCCAGCAGCAGGTTGGCCATATCCCCCAGGGCTGTGCCAAGTCCCTCCACCCGTGACTGTCAGCTCTCCTTCTCCAGCGCTGGGGTCTCGCCTCAACAGGACACCACTGTCACCCCGCTTCCTCAGGACCAGAGCCCTGCACACTCTGCCCTCTGCCCGCAGGGTGCTGTGTTGTCTGTGACAATCCTCTGGCATCCAGACCTTTGCCCCTCTGGCCGGTCACACACATCCCTGCCCTGGTTACGGGCTGACTGATGCTGGGTACTGGCCTGGGGACAGAGGGGGCATGTGAGGGGGGGTGTGGCTTCTTGTGTGGATTTCTGCCAGGCAGAGGCCTCCTGGTCCTCCTCCAGCACTAGCCTTCGCTGGTGACGGGAGGACGCGGCAGGCTCTGGTCGTGGTCTGGCAGCCCAGCCCTAGGAGGGATGCTCCTGCTGTCACAGAGATGGGGTGGGGGGTCTTGGGTCGTCCCTGCCCAACCCCAGCTGTCACCCGCATTTTCCTTTGCAGATGTTCCCTCTGTTGCTGCAACTTCACCTTCACCCCTGAGCCCAGTCCAGGGCAGCCATGGTGTGAAGGTCAAGGTCAGGTCAATGGAAAAGCATTCTTTTTATTTATGACTGTGTTAGTGAGAAAGTCAAACTGTTTGGTCCCCTGCAAGTGATGGTGAACGACCCAAAGGCCTGAGAGGGTCAGGCGGGAACTCTGAGAGACCTGGTGGAGGAGCTGAAATAGGAAATGGCTGGATGTTAAACCAGAGACTTTCACAATCTTATTAATTTGGAAGACTCAGGGCAGAAGTAGAACAGTTGGTCTCAGGGTAGGGAGGTGTGTGTTTATGTGATTACTGGACGTTGGTCCCACCCAGCAGGCCCAGCAGCCAGGGTAGGACACGGAGGGCACAGCAGGAGCAGGAGAGAGCAGGGGAGCAGAGGGCTGGGGGCCGGGCGGGGGTACGGATCTGTCAACCGGAGGCTGACGTCTTGCCCCTGCTGTGTCGGCAGGAGCCCAGTGGATCTACCAGGCAGAGGAGTCCAAACCTTTGTCATCTCTGGGTCACACTGAAAGGAGAAGAGTTGTGTTGGGCCACACATTAAATACACAAACACCAAGAAAAACAGAAAAATCCATGTTTTAAGTGAATTTAGGATTTTGTGTTGGGCTGCATGCGGCCCTCAGGCAGCAGGTTTGACATCCCTGTCCCACAGGATGGCGAAAGTTTCATCTCAATGGACAGATACCAAAGACAGTTAAGTGACACGGGACAATGGCAGAGCTGTGACTGAGTCCCTCACAAAGACCAAACGGAGACCGTAATGGCTGGCTGGAGCAAGCACCCGTGCCCCAGTAGAGAATTCTGGGGATGACACGTAACAGAGAAAAGCGGCAGATCTCCGGAAATGAGATGGACTGCCCTACAGTGTGAGGTGGGTGTGTCAGTGTGTGTATTTGTGTGTGTGTGAAAGTGATCCATCCGTGGTGAGTTCTTCATGGGAGGACAGCAGCCATCCTTCCCGTCCCTGCCCACCTCCTGACGTCACGTCCTCACCGCGCAGACCTTCGGCCCCCTCACCGTGGGCTTCCTGCAGGACCCGAGCATGGGAGCATGATTGTTTCCAGATATTTTCTTCTTTTTTTTTTAATCATGCTAAGTGTCTGGCCTGGTCAAAGCCAAGGGGAAGAGCCTATGTTGGGGTTGACATCTTTCTGTCCTCTCAGTTTACCTGCCCTCTGCAGGCCACCCTCGATGGGCCCTGCCTGATTTCTGAAACGCTGCTGGCAGCTGCCCAGCTCCCTCAACACAAAGACCAAGGAGTTTTAACTTCTCAGACACCACCCACAGGGAAGAGATGTTTTCCTCTTACTGTTACTTTCTCCAAGAACCACTTTCTTTTCAGTCTCCCCAGGTCTGTCTCTGCAAATCCATCAGTACAACCTCAAATATCAGCTCCTGAGAGGATTTCTCCACCGCCACTGTCACGTGTCACCTCTCCTTCTGTCCCAGCAGGACAGAGTGGTGATACTGTGACCATTGTGTCCTCTATTACATATGAGACAGTTCAGGACAGTGTCCAGCCCCTCTCTCCGTCTGCATTGCAGGATCACCGGGGGCAGCAGGGGCCGAGCAGGAGTCTCAGATCAGGGACTGGACAAAGGCTTTCACTCTTGTGTTTCCCTTTCAGCACCACCAACCGCAGTCCCAGACACAGATCAATCCAAGGCCAAGTCCATCACACTCATCTCTTGTTTAGCCTGTACTATCCTAACTGGATCAGTCTCACTGGTCCCCCTAGGCAGGGTGCTGTGGAGTGACGGGCACTGTGGGCAGACCTGAGCGGGAAGCGAGGGGCCGATAGCCGGAGTGAGGACAGGAACGGTGAGTTCCCTGAGGATGCTGCCTCATTGCCTGACCACCTCAGCCTGGAGATGAGCTCAGGTGAGTAAGACGGTATTCATCAGGGTTCTCCTGAGAAGCAGCATCAGTAAGAGATACAGAGCCAGAGTACAGAGAGAGATGGTGATACGGACAGACACAGAGATAAAGACAGAGACAGAGACAGAGATACAGATACAGATACAGGTAGAGACA